GAGAGAGAGAGAGAGAGAGAGAGAGAGAGAGAGAGATGACTGATGTGATCAAAGATCAAATCAATCTGAGGAGCTGTCTTTTCACCGTCATGTCACTGTCACTGGGCAAGAAATGTGCAAGTCTATTTGTTTTCTAAATCTCTCTCCCTCCACGCGCACACACACACAAAACATTACCACTCAGGTTCATTTGGGTTCAGTGCAGATCCCAGCAGGAGTGCTAGACGGAAGAGGGTGGGTGGGTGCAAAAACCTCGCCATCTTCAGATGAAAAGGGGAACTTGAGTGACCTCAGATGAGCAAATCTCGAGAGTTTTTGTGCAATTGTGAGAGGATGATGGCGGCGCCTAGCAACGTCCAAAATAAATGGAACAATAAAACTGCATCCTGCCGATGATCCTCTGTGAAAATATGGGTTCAAACCCAGAAAATTGCTTGTGTTTGGTCACAAATCTTATTTTCATGGAGAATGTAAGAGGGGATGGGATACATCTACAATAATAAATCAGATCATTTAAAGGTCTGCACTGCAAGAGAGATTCTGCTATGAAACGTGGCCAGGGGTGGACTGGGACCAAAATTCGGCCCTGGCATTTTTACGAATCGTCGGCCCTGCCCATTGGAAGAGCGGTGGGGGTGGGGGGTGTTGCCGCACGGGGACTCGTCTCTAGGCCGAATGTGAGATCTAATATGGACTGGGACTGTTCAATTGCAAGCAGGTCCAGACCGCTGTGACCGGGAGCCCTGGCCTTCCAGATCAGCTCATTCTCCACGGGCGGAGATCAGCGGGGCATCAGCTACATGCTAACGCAGTAAAACAACTCCTACATCATCGCTCTATCGTGTTTTTCTTGTTAAAACTGCCTGGAAAAACTCTGTTAGCTTTGGGTTACCATGTAGCCATGGACATAATTTTTTGGGGGGGGGGGGGGGGGGGGGGGGGTCATGCCCACGCCCACCCCACTTTTTCCAAAGTAAAATTTTTGACCCCTGCACTTTTTACCATCCAAAAACAATATTACGCTATATTAAATTGACACTGGTTGAGCTCTACAACCAAGCGGAAAACAACGTTTGTGTTGAAGCATGTTTCCCATTAGAGCATACTGCAAAGATAACCCCCCACCCCTGTGTCCCCCCCAATTCTAAAGTGAAAATTACGTCCATGCATGTAGCTAATGTTCAGCAGATCACCAACTGTGGAGTAGTGTCAGCCCAAGCTGGGCAAGCAGCCCACTTGGCTAAGCGGCCCACCGGGACAGTGCCAGAATGCCAGATAGGCCAGTCCACCCCTGAGCGGCTTTAATTCTCCTATAGGTATAGTTTCTAATTATTAAAGCTTTTGCCGATTTAAATTTCTTGGTGAATGTTAAATATTTTGTGGAGACAAAAACTTAAAAATATTTTCTGCAGTAAGGCAATAATCAGGATTGGAAATCAAGCTTTTGTTTTTTAAGTACATGAGAAGTTGATGTTTTCGTCCAGCAGGGGGCAGAAAATACCAGCTTTTAAGAGTTCAGAGGGCCATGTTGCTTTAAGGGACTGGAATGGAACTTTTTCTATTCAGAAACACATTAAATATGAGTTCAATGTGTAAGATTATAATATTATTAATCTTACCATTTGATTGATCTAGATTACCATTTGAATATCCTCAGTTTAGAGAATGAAAGACTAGTGCTGACCAGTTTGAGACCTTAGAAGAGTTGGTGCTTACTAAAATAAATAATTCTAATTAAAAAAATATGTCATTTACACAAAATTTTCATGAATCATACCAGCATGCATTACTTACATGGAATTCTTTAGTTTTGTACAAAATGTAAAATTCAAAAGAAGATCTGTCACGTTTCCAGTCAGAATTTCATATTTCCGCTCATTCTAATGGAAAACTGTTGATGGTTACTGCTGATTTATGGTCAGAGTTTAGCTCCATTTCTCCAAACTGTGGTTGTTCAGCGCCACGCTCAACAGGATGCTCGTTTCAAACTCTGCTATCCTTTTAATTTGATTCCTATAGGGAGGTCAACAGTTAGCTGCAGCTGATGATGGCGTAAACCTGGGGTATTCATTTCCATGCCTGGAGGGCTGGTATCCAGCATGTTTTAGTGGTTTCTCTACTCCAACACACTTGATTCAGTGGTTGAATCAGCTGTGCAGAAGCCTGTTAATTACCTGCTGATTGAATTCAGGTGTGCTGAAACGGAGTTGAAACTAAAACGCACCGGATACCAGCCCTCCAGGCCTGGAGTTGAAACCTCTGGCATTCACTTTTCTAGAATAGCTTTACAGACCACTAGAACATTTTGATGACTGGCGCCATTTGAAAGTGACATCATTACGCCGGGGACACACCGGCCGCCGAAGCGACCGCGAAATTGGGGCCGCCTTCATTTGGCGCTGCGCGCCGGCGCTCCGGCCCGCGCCGTGCAGCAATAGTTTCGGCGTCTGCTCTATTTTTTTCACGAGCCCCGGGTGGGCCGCGCCAATTCTGGCAGGAAGTCAAACCTAGACATAAGAGGCAGGCCGGTAAATTTAACAAAATAAAGCATTTCAAAATACAATTCCGCGATAGTCGAATGTGTTCGTAAACAGACACTGCATGAAAACCACACACACACACGTGTGTGACCACGTGAAGGGGGTGTGGTTCTGGGTGTCTTTCAACCAGAGCAAACAGGACAGAGAGGCAGAAAGTCGTAGGACAGCTTTTAACTGGTTCACACACATGCGTACAAATACACACAAACAGCAAGGGGGAGGGGGGTGTAGAGGAAATGGAGGACACCAAGTGGCTAAAAGAAAAACTACGAGGCGCGCCTCGACCAAAGCGGAGAAACAAGGATCTGGTCTGAACTGAGGAGCGGCGAGCAGCAGCCGAATTTTGTGAGCGCTTCGGCGGCTGGTGTGTCCCCGGCGTAACACTTTGGTTTAGCTCCATCTAGCAGTTAGCTCATCAACCGTCTTTGACCTAAACCCCATTTCTCCAAATGAAGGCTGTTCAGGAATGGGTAAAATACAAGAAGTTGCTCCATGTGCTGCCATCTACAACAGCTTAGATGGTAAAATGAAAAAGCTTCACACAGAGCTCATCAAAACACGCAAAACACAAAACACACCAAATAGTGACATGGCGTTTTTTTTTAATTAGGATGAAAATATAAAACTCACATGTTCTCTTTATTTGTTGTATATAGATAGTGTACACCATTAGAGATGTTGGATAAAAGCACGCACAGAAAGCTCAGGTATGAAGGAGGAACACGTCTGGAGGTGGAAAAAAATGACTAAATGAAAAAGATGTCGGATAACAAAGACAAAAAATAAAAATAAAAATAAACATCAAAACTCTTTAGTTTCTAAAATAACGTGTTGAACTTTGTGCCATAAACCAACCGTCTGCGGTCGCTAATAACCTTTGAACTCTGTACATGCGGTACTTTGTACAAAATATGAAATCTACTATTTAATAATAGAACGTGAAAGTACATTATATGTACAATGAAGCCATTTAGTATAAGACATATACTAAAGGACACTTGCAATAACAACTCATTTCAACACGTAAGAAAGCAAAGCTTATGTCAAACGAAGAGAGCTCCAAAGAAGCCAGAATTAAAGCCATTTCAAGACCAAGAGTCACCAGTCGGACAAACGCTGAACGGATGGAAACCATTGATCTTCAAAACAAACAACAGAACAGAGGGACTTCTACAGAAGGATGATTTACAAATTTGCACATTCAGTTGCAACACTGACAAAAGAGGCTCTGCAGGCAAAGGAGGAATAAAAGCAAAACCACACCCAGATCGAACTGTTCTCCACCGATGAGCCCAAACGGTTCTTGTTTTAACTAAAGAAACGAATAAACATGTGCAGGTTTGGATCAAGCACCGGTACTAATCTAAAGTGGAATGAGGCATGAGGTGACACACACACACACACACACACACACACACACACACACACACATTCCCTAAGACAGCGTCATGAATTTCACCTCTGCTCCTCTTTTCACTTTCAGTTGTTTCTGTTTTCTTTCAAGTTTTATCAGGAAGTGCTGAATCTGCTTGTGGGCGAGCGCTCTGCCTCTGATGTCTGGAGTCCGGGATGTCCGAGGCGAGTAAAGGCCTACACTGGAACACATCAGGTGGGAATCACTATGAGAAACGAGGCTCACTAATCTGTCTTTGCAGCTGATCTGGAGCGAGCATCCCCTTTTCCAAAGGCACTGTGAAAAGAAAGGAGTCAAACTCGACGACTCTTCTGTGAAGCGTTCTGATGCCGAAATAAAAAAAGGGGTTTAGCTTGAGAAAAGTAGAAAAATTGAGTACATTTACTAACCTCACATGAGAATTTGACCCTTTTAACCTTCTCATAAAAGCCTCGCATCAATGTCCATGGCTTGTTCTGAACTGGATGAGGACTAAAAGTAAATCCTGAGCTCAGACCGACACCAAGCCAGAAACCAGGCAACTGACTGCCTAGAATACGTTTTTAAAAGAGCTGAAGCAATCAAACAAGTTAGCAGCAGACCAGCTTTCAACTAACCGAGAATTGAATGTGCAGATTTAAAACCAAACACTTGCCTGGCGAGTCTTTATAAAACGTATAATGAATACGGCAAATAAAAACAGCAGCAAGCAGCGGTTTTACAGAAGTTTTAGACGAGCTCCTAGTGCATCGTGTAAGGAAAAATAGAAGCCGCTGTTTTGTTCCAATCTCAGGAGAAAAATATCTCTTTAAATGTTTTAAACTAGTTTTTATTCCTTTTTTTTTTTGTTGAGGTTACCGGTAAGGGCTCGTGTTTTTTTCAACAAGCACCTGACATCTACAGAGAAGATCTGACCGCTCACACATAAAAGGAAAACCTGAGAAGAATGACCAGAAGGGGGCAGCACAGGCTCCCCACAAAACACGGACTGAGAAGATGGAAAGAGAGAAACTAGGGGAGGAGGAAGAGGAGCTAAAAGCTTTTCTTTGGGGGGGGGGGGGGGGGGGGGGGGGGGCAGTTGCCTGCTGTTCTTGTGCAGGAACATCTAAGCCCCACAGCTGCTTCTCCAGTCAAGAGGAGGGGTTGTGCACTGCTAATGTGTAGCTTTAGATGTTTCCAGCATCAGGCGGGGCAGAGCGGGGGCTGTACTCCCACACCGGAGCTCGGTGGTTGTGCGGGGCCGTCTGAGGGCCTGTGTGTGGATGCTGCTGCTGGTTTTCAGTGGATCTGGGTGGTGCTCTCCTTAGTGGCCGTCGTGCGTCGTTATCATTTCCTCGGCTCGTCGGTGCAGCTCCAAGGCTGTGACGGTGCAGATGTCTTTGGGGAGCTCCGATTTCCTCCTCATTAGCGGGCGCTCTCGTCTGTGATCTTTTGTGATCTGGACACAAACACATGAGGATCAGAACCGTGAGCGCAAGAATCAGTCGGACATCCGACGCCCTTTTTATTTAACTGTTGTTATTTCCCATCACACACTCGACTGGTTTCACTCTCGTCTCTTAAGGTTGTTCTCCACACCACAGTTTATTTATACAGCACTAAGTGCAGCATGGGGAGCTGCCCAAAGTGCTGCCCAGGCCGGACCAAATCACAACTAATCAAAGCAACAAAAACCAGAAGATAAAAACACTGATCAACAAAAGCAAATACAGTGATCCCTCGCTACTTCGCGGTTCGTTTATCGCGGATTCACGACTTCGCAAATTTTTTCTTTGGAGCCTTATTCAAGGGAAATTCGCCGATTTGCGGCATTTTTCTATGCAAAATATCAAGAAATTCTTGTTGTTTTCATCAATTTCATCATAAAATGCACTTTTTGTAATAAAACTATAAAAAACCAAGTAAAAAAATTTTTTTCTTGAGTTTTACCCACAAAAAGAGAATGTGATCATACGATAATTCAATATAGTACTGTGATGGACAGAAGACGGAAGCTGCCGGGCTCTGAGGGTGTGGTGATTGGACACCGGCTGGTCCTCGTTATGGATAACGAGGCCAGGGAGGATAAAAGGGTGACCAGGTCTACCGAGATGTGTGCGTGGTCGACCTGTCATTGTGGCATCGGACTTTGGGGGGTGGGGTCGTTCGCAGTCGGTTAGGGCTGCTGGCGACGAAGACAGTTAAACAGGCATGCAGCGTTCCAGTGTCAGGAGGGAAGGCTGGTTGCCTTCTCTAGATAGCGAGGGCTGGGCATAGGGGATGACGAGACCACACCGATATCTGCCGCCACGGACTTTGGCAGTTGGACTTACGCTGTGGAATTACCCGCCGTCCTTGCAAGCTGCACCCCGGGGCGTTGGAAGCTCAGACCCCGGGGAGGGGGGTCACCGCATCTGAGACAGCTAAGTACCGCTGCTTGTGTGACTCATGCTGGACAACTGGTTTTATGAGAGAGGGCTTGGGCCATAGTGATTTATTGTTGTGTCTTATTGTTGATCGTGTAATAAAGTGTATCGTTTTATAAGTCGTTGCCTACTGGTGGGGTTTTTGGGTTCTGACTGGAGGGTAAGATATTCTGCCCGTGCTGCCCACTGCAACTTACATTACAGTACTGTACTGTAAATATGGTGTCCCTACTTCGTGGATTTTCACCTATCGCGGCCAGGTCTGGAACGCATCTACCGCGATAAACGAGGGATCACTGTACAACACGAGGAATTCTAAGACCACATTAAAACAATAATACAATAAAATGAGTCACTGTCTAAAAGCCAAGTCCTAGAAGTGGGTCTTTAAATGATATTTTAAAACAGTTCCTACAACTCAGATCCTTCAGATCACCCCAGTTACTAGAGGTGTGCCCCAGGGCTCTGCCCTTGCGCTCCTCCTCTTCATGTTTTCACTAGATTCTCAGTCATACAGAGCACGATAAACTGGAAGGTTTAGTTGGAAACAACTGGACTTGTATGTCTTTGAAAATGTTTTGCTTCTCAATAGGGACGCGCCGATCCGACCGCATGATTTTAAAAGGATTGGGAGAAATAAATAGGATTTAACAATTTAAAACATCAAACATGACTTTTTTAATTCATTCTGAGATAGAGATTTTGAAATGGAAGAACAATGGCTTACTTTTCATTTCAATAAGTTCCTTCACATCAATATTCTTTGTTTCTTGTACGAAAACAACACAGGAATTCAGACACTGAGCTGCAGCTGTTAGCAGCTGGCTAACGCAGAGCTAACATGTCGCAGGAAAGCTAACATGTCTTCAGCTTGGTGGTATTTTAAACCAAGCAAAGAAGGCAGAGCTACTTGATTTGCTGCTTTTAAAACAGACTATTTTCCCTTTCCCCTTTGGGTGTCTACATAAGCGCATCAGCGGTCTCCAACAGTCCCAGTTCACAGCAAACTCAGACAAAAAATGCGAAGCCAACCAATAGAAAAAGCCATGCTAATAAAAAAAAAAAGAGAAATTGTTTCCTGCAGCACCGGAGCTGCCCATAGCAGGTGTTGCAGGGAAAAGTTAGCATACCAGCTAAAACGCTGCATCCCTGCTCCATCACAGGATCATGCATTGATCAATACAGCTGCATGTTGAGGGAGTAAATGACTTGAAATATGAGCAACGCTGCTACTTGTAAATATAATCATAATATAAACAAATTTTTTTAATCGGTGCCCTTCCCAAACTAATGAAAGTGAAACTTAAAGGACAACTTGGATGTGTTTTCTTCTTATCGGGACTCGATATCGGATGAGAAGCAAAACATCTTCAAGAAAAACAAGCAAACCCCAGTTGTTTCCAACTGAACCTTCAAGATTTTCACTTGTTCATAACTTATATTTTCACTGTTCATCTGAAATTAAATCCTAACTCACCACTAACCTGAGACTAAACAGTGACAAAGCAGAAAATCGTCTGGTTGGTTACCAAGTCCACCGTGTCCATAGCTGCCAGTTTTGCTCTCACTGCTTATGTTTCCTCTCTTTTTAAAGGTTTTATCGATTTTTCGACTCGATTTGTTACCTTGATTTTATTGTTGTGGTGTCCTTGTGTTGCTTGAGTGTTTATAAAAAAATTTATTATTAATATTATTACAGGGTATCTGCATGTTCAAGGGAGCCAAATTTAAGACTTTTTAAGACCTTTTTTAAGGCCACTTTGACCAAATTTAAGCTATTTTTTTATTTTATTTCATTTAAGCTATAATTTCCAGCTATTGCCTGAAACCGGTGCTAACCATGTCGCGAACGTGAGATTAGCCATCCAGTTACCATTAAACTTGCACTTCCCCATGGTGCAAGCTCCCACTAGCTTAACCAGCTAATGTGCTCATCTAAAAATAGCCCCCTTTCACAACCAACTGAATGTGTACGGTTCCGCTTACGCAAATATGATACACATGAAATGCTGAACACTGACTAGAAATTCACGAAAATTTTATAGAAATAAAAATATCTTGTTTATTGGGTCTTTGGTCATTTTAAGACCTTTGGAAACTGTATTTAAGGACTATTTGTTTAAGGATTTTTAAGGCCTTAAATTTGGAAAAGCAAATTCAAGACTTTTTAAGACTTTTTAAGGACCCGCGGATACCCTGTATTACATCCATCTTCTAAATGTCTTTCCTGTTGGACACAGAACTCTCAGTAACTCACATGGACAAAATAATAAATATGCAAAAATAGAAACTTGACTTTCCGGTTCATCTTCCTCTTCTGCTAAGATATTAATTTATATTCCACGTGACCCATGTCTGAATAATTACCCTGACATATACGCTCTTTACGAGTTTAAAATGAAACAAGTAGCCATGTTTGTCATGTGATAATGTAAAGAGCATGCCGACCGGTGTGGCTCCCTCCTCTACAGTCTTCTTTAGCATGTTGACATCTTCTAGCGGCGGCCCGTCGGTCTCCATGTCCATCGGATCACCTGATCCTGCAGGATCAACGTGGGTCAGAAACTGCAGAGGAGGCGATGGAGAGGTTAGAAGAAGCCAACATATAATCTCAATGTGCTCATCGGTGGAGTTTAGCTCACCTGTGGGTTTGATTTTGCCAGATTCTCAATCTTCAGCCACGCGTCTTCTCTCTCCTTCCACTTGCTTTTCTCTCTTCAACAAACAGAAACTCATCAGACACAAAGCCTTTTTATGTGAGTCTTAATGATCCATATGAATGTGACAGCCCATTTGAGGACTTACTTGCTTTTTTCTGCTTTGAACTGTTGGGTGCAATCATCAAACAGCTTCTGATTCATCTCCATAAAGAGTTTCAGAGCGTTATAGATCAAGCCGTGGATTGTCCTGTGGGCACACGAAAATTCCTGTGGTTCGCTTGTTCGTGACTAGAATCAACAGGACGTGAGACTCACGAGCAGAGACACACTCACTTGTTCCAGTGGGTCTTGGAGTTGCGGTAAAGGGCTGGAAACATGATTGGCAGGATCTTTGCTGCATTGTCGCTGATCAGGCTCATGATGTACTCGTTGTTCCAGTAGTACAGAGCCCGCTCAGCCACCTAACAACACAGTTTGAGTGAGAGATGACCTGACACACAAGCCAAGTCTTAAAGGGACTTTACGGAGTTTTGAATTTTTATGCTCGCGATTGCCCCCTCAGGCCAAAAGTGTAACGGCAGCTTCAATAGTAGGTTTGTGCACGAGGTGCGCATGCTGTACGTGCACACTCCTTAATGAAAATTACAGCTGAGACAGTCCCGCGTGTGTGTGTGTGTGTGTGTGTGTGTGTGTGTGTGTGTGTGTGTGTGTGTGTGTGTGTGTGTGTGTGTGTGTGTGTGTGTGTGTGTGTGTGTGTGTGTGTGTGTGTGTGTGTGTGTGTGTGTGTGTGTGTGTGTGTGTGTGTGTGTGGCCCGGAGGACAGGAGAACACGCAGCTAATTAATTAAATAATTTGGTTCTGTAGCTTTCTCTTCAGCACAGCCGACAAAGGTTTATGATGGGTCAGTCCTCCTGCATGCTCAGATCATTCCCTTCCCTTGCTTGAAAAATTGATCCAAAATGAAAGTTGAACCCACATCTTTTTATCTGTGAATTCAATGCCGTTCGGCGAGTCTCAAATAAAAATTTGGGCATCTTACTGTAAAAAAATATAACATTAATGTAAAAAAGAAACTCTAAATGAACTATGTTCACACCCAGAATGGAACCCAGGTCTTCTGCATGGGAGTCAGACATCTTACTAGGTGAGCTAAAGTGTCAGTGACGTTTTTATGTATCTGTAACTTTTATATCCTTGATGACAGCTGAAACAACATCAAACCAAAGAACGGTTCGGAGTGAAAATGGCGATTTTGTTGCTAATTTGCAGGAAATATCTAGAAGAAAGTTCTACAGAAAGTAGCTAAGGGTCCTCAGAAATGTAGCTAGCTTTGTCACTAGGCGTTAGGAACAGCGACAAAGTGGCACTGCCTCTCTCTCTGCTGCTAAAGCTACGGATAGCAAATGCTACGGGCGATGCCTGAGCGTGAACGCGCATGAAGCAGCCTGCTCGACCCGAGCATCTCTCTTTTTCTGTGATTTTACAGAAAAACAGGCAATCACAGTAAAAATGCCAGGGCTCATTCTACAGGACCAGGGCATTGCAGGAGAATGTATGAAGAAAACATTTATTATTTCTATACATGTTTTGGCTGTCAAACTTCCATAACGTCCCTTTAAAAATAAAAGAACGGGTTAAACCTGCGCTGTGATTCAGACCTGGAAGTGAGGGCTCGAAACGCACTTGGCTAGCTGTCGGAAAAGAGGCTCCATCACTTTGACGAACTCTGAAGGCTCAATCACATCCAGGATCTCCTCCAGCTCATTGAGGAACATCACCTCCTTTGGACTGTGGGTCTTTGGCCAGTACTTTAACAAAGCCATAACAGTCTGCATATGAACACACACACACACACACACACACACACACACACACACACACACACAGACACACACACAGACACACGCAGACACACGCAGGCGAAGCAGAAACACAGGCTTAGTTACAGAGGAACTGTTTTTCTACAGTGGATCAAAAACAAAAACGGGTAACAAATTCAGATAAGCATGACACAAAAAACACCCTGAAAAAATGATCTGAGTGACTTTTTTACAGAAGCATTTTGCATTCACTTGGAAAAAAAATGAGCCTAGAAATCTGAACCAACCATAGCAAAAGACTTGGTCTAGCCATACTCCATCGTAGCTTCAGCTGGTCTACCATTGGCCACAACAGTTTTGTGTCTTGCCAATCACAGCGCACTGTGTCTTTTGGGCGGGCTCTGCACTGGAAAGACGGGGAAAAGATGGCGTCGGCTCAAGAATAGCAATCGTTTGAGACGGCTTTGGCACCAACAAACAGGATGCATTTGCTGCTTTTTCTTCGGCAGCGTGTGGTAGACTGCCCCGTTGACTTATTCATGTAAAAATGAATATGTCATGTTGTTGGTTGCTCTGATTGGGCCTAGCGCTGTCCAACTGCCTGCAGCGTTGTACAGCTGTAGACTTTGCCCCATGACTGGGTTATTTCAAAGAGTCGTGGCCAGACAATAAATTTACATACTTGGCTTGCCCGGATGTAAGAAAACCTATGCTTTTCTGAATCAATGAGACCGTTTCAAAGAAAAAAACATGGCCACGTCCACAAGATCCGATAGGGCTTTTCACCTCAACCAGCTCATTGGTCTAGTGGTATGAGTGTTTTCCCGGAGACTGGGAGATCGTGGGTTCAAGTCCACGGTCGGGTCATACCAAAGACTTGAAAAATGGGACCCAATGCCTCCCTGCTTGACGCCCAGCATTACGGAGTTCAACTGGGGGTTAAAGCTGCAGTGTGTAAGAATATAGTGAGAATTTTACAGTGAGAAAATCCCAAAAGAGACTAACGTTTCAGTCATTTTGGAAGGAAGGTTAAACAGAAACATGTTTCATACCCAGCTGGCTGCTGGATTGTCAGTTTTTCTCCTTTCAAAACAAAGGGAGGAGGGACATAACTATTGTTCACCATCAGTGAGTGTGGGGGTGCCGTGTCTCCTGGGAGCTAATACTGCAGCGTCGACAATCGTAATTTGACGACGACCGGAAAAAAGCTCCAGTTTAAAGTAGTTGCAGTAACCACATTTTACCACAGGATGTCATGTTTACTTCGTTTCTACATAATGCACCATTAAACCACCAAATAGCTCCCAAAGCACCATGTCTGCAGCTCACCGCTCCTCCAGGAGGTGGATCAAATGAAGAGAAAACATTTCACCAGTGCGATGACCGATGGGACTTTAACTCTTACAAGCGCAAAGTCTTCAGGTGTCTACTCTAAGTGGACAAACATAATAATAATCCTTTCTACGCATTTTAGAAAAGAAAATTATTTCCTAGAACATCGTTTCAGAAAATAACTGCATGGCATTATATTATTTATTTATCATTTGGTTATTTATTCATTCATATATGATCAATAGTGGCTGTGCAGTGGTTAGAGCTGTTGCCTTACAGCAAGAAGGTCCTGGGTTCGCTTCCCGGCCTGGGATCTTTCTGCATGGAGTTTGCATGTTCTCCCTGTGCATGCGTGGGTTCTCTCCAGGTACTCCGGCTTCCTCCCACAGTCCAAAAACATGACTGTTAGGTTGATTGGTCTCTCCAAATTGTCCCTAGGTGTGTGTGTGATTGTCCTGTGTGTCTCTGTGTTGCCCTGCGATGGACTGGCTCTGTCCAGGGTGTACCCCGCCTGATTGCCCGTTGACCGCTGGAGATAGGCACCAGCCCCACCACGACCCTACGTGGACAAGCGGGTTCAGAATATGGATGGATGGATATGATCAACAGTGATGTCATCAGCACAGAAAAAACTGCTTTTTAACTTTTGTGGGTAAAAATGATGTTATTAGTTTAGAAAAACTAAGCTTTATTTAATGTTCTTTCAAGTGAATGCAAAACACTTCTAGTTTTCTATCCATATTATTCTTTCAGACCCACCAACATGGGTGCATTTTCTTCATTCAGCTAAATTATCTAGGATTTATTAAACTAAATCATAATCTGTACACAACAAAGCAGTAAAAACTTATTCTGTGATTTAATCCTGAAAATTAACGTTAAAACAGCATAAATAAGCTCAATCTTACCGGTTCTGTGAGGGTGCTATCCTTCTCCAAGAACTGAACCACACAGTAGGCCAGCTAGAGGAGAAACATCCGTGTTTTAGCCTCCAACGTAGAAGTTTAAAACATTACCAAACTGAAGAGGAAATCAAAGCGGCTACCTGTGGGTGATACACACTCAGGGACTTGACTTTGTGTAAAGGCAGCAGGACTTTCAGCAGGAAAATTTTGTGCTCTTCTTTCAGTGGTAACGCAAACCCATTGATTATGCTAAAAGAAGAAATCTGGTCATTATGGGAAACTTGAAACAAAACCTACATCCTGACACAAACACACACAACCTGCTTTAAAGTATAAAAAAATTCACCTGCCAAGAATTTCCAGTAATTCTGCTATTCCATTGTGATGCTCAGTCTCATAAATGAACCTGGAGTTCAAAAAATACTTTAATAAAATGCAAAGTATGTGGGGGAAAAAGTGCTGAGAGTAAAGTAAAAGTAATTACTCACGCATAAAATATGTTATTAATTTGTTTCCTAATGTACGCTCGCAGGCCCAGGAACTTGCCGTAGATGCGATGCAGAGTGGTTTTAAGAAAATCTCGCTCTCTGGGGTCTTCACTGTCAAACAGTTCTAAGAGCTAAAAGAATAAAAAAGTAATTCATTTAAATACTAATGAAGATGAACGCCGTAGCGCTCGAGCAAAAGCTTGATAAGGATTGTAAGAGATCACCTGCATTACAAACTTCTGGTCAATATACTTTTTGGCAGTGTTAGGTTGAAAGTCGGGTGATTCCAAGAATCGTAGAAATAACTCGTACACGAGCTGCGGAAGAAGCGCAGGTGTAGTGACTAAACAGCTGATTTATTTTAATCCGATTATAGGACAGAACAAAGCGCTTTCAGAATGCATTGTGGGTATTTTTGTACCTGTAGGTGTGGCCATGCAGCCTCTAGCGTGGGCTCATCCTCCTCTGGGTCGAACTCTGCTCCGGTGGGGTTAGAAGATGGCGGCAACGTTCTGAACATGTTCACGGCAAACTAGGGAACAGAAAGGTTTATAATGGAATCAACTACATCAAATCAAAACTATGAGATGGTCTTAAACAGCTAAAATCCCCAACATTTCAATTAAACATTGTTATTAGGGCCCAACTGATATGCTTTTTTTGGGACTGATACCGATATAAAACTTTTAACAAAGGCCGATAGCCGATATAATGGCCGATAAATTTCCCTCACAAAAAAAAGAAAAAATTTTCTTAAGCTTAAAGCCTTCATTCTCTGCCTTTTTGATGCAAACTTATTTCTCTATTACACACCAAAGAACTGTCTCAATAACTCACTCGGGTTTCCAAGAAATGCAAATAAGATTTATTTAGCAGATCTCAAAAACAACAGAACACACAAACTCAGTCACAGCATAAATCTAACATTGAAGTTTTTTCTTGTAAACGGTGGTTTCCACAAATCCATTTTAACTTAAAGGAATATTCCACCACACAGTAAAATCATGTCTTGTTAAGATTCCCCAGAGTTAGACAAGTCAGAAAAAGCATTTTATAACAGCCCAATATGACCTGGCAGCAGTTGGTTTTCTTAGTTTAGCATAAAACAGTGTAAGTGAATTCACATTAGGGATGAGCGAGTACACCACTATCTGTATCTGTTCAACCATCTAAATTATCTGTATCTGTATCTGTACTCGGAGTGGGCGTGGTCTAACCCGGAAGTGGGTGTAGTTTAACCGGAAGTGGGCGTGGTTTAAATCAATACGTTATTTTAAGTGTGATCAGAAGTTGCTATGTGTATTGTTTATTTGAAAACTATTTACAGAGCAGCCTCAGAGTTGAGATTAAATGTTTTATAAATAGTAAAGGAACTATTACAGAACAAGTTTTTCAATAAAATCAGAACATTAATATTTAAGTGCATGAATTAAGAGAGAGAGAAGAAAAGGTCTTTTCTATAGCGTCTCAAGATAAAAATCATGGGGCGCTTCACAAAAACAAAACATGTAAAATAGAAAAAAGAATTTAGAAAATGATTAAAATATATTTAAAATGAGCAAAAAATAGACAATTGTGATTAAAATGTAAAGAAAGAGAGAGTGAATAGGAAAGAGGGAGTGGATCCTGAGGGAGAGAGAGGAAAAAAATAATAACCCGACCGGAGCGGAGGCAGTGACAGACGCAGCACGAGCCATTTTCAGCTCTGTCTTGTCAAATGCACCACATACATTACGAAAAAGTAACTTTAAATAACTTTAAAGTACCTTTAAAAAGAAGCAAACTGAAGAAAACCTAGGGAGTAGTGAAGAAACCATGTGTGTGTGTGTGTGTGTGTGTGTGTGTGTGTGTGTGTGTGTGTGTGTGTGTGTGCGTGTGTGCGTGTGTGCGCGTGTGCGCGTGTGTGCGTGTGTGCGTGTGTGCGTGTGTGTGGACCGGACGCGGACTGAGCTGTGACCTCCCGGCTGCAGAGTTTTGTGTGTAGGGAGGGGCGGGCGCTCTATTTGACTGGCCAATCACAGAGCGCCAGTTACCCAATGAGGATTTTCCTTTGGCACAATTACAGATATTTACGAGTTTTACTCGTTTCATGCTCGTACTCGTCAAAAATGCTTTATCCGTACCAGATACTCGTCTGAAACGAGTATCCGGCTCATCCCTAATTCACATACATTGTAGTGTTTTGTTTATGTAGGTGAATGCAAGCCTTCGCTTCCATCGCTTTATGCTAAAACATCTGGTTACAACATGTTTTTTCTGACTTAGCTAACTCTGGGGAATCTAACAACACACACACGTTTAGGGACAGAGATCCCTATAAGAATATTAAAATAATAAAAATGCAGCAATAAATAAAACGTAATACTTGTGCTTTGTAACAAAGTAACACTCTGTGGAAGTTAACTTGGTGAACTTATTCACCCTGGACAGGAAATAAGAAACATAAATAAGAATAAATTAAAAAAAAAGTTCGAAAACAATAATTTCTGTTCAAAGTTCAAAGGTGTAGAGCCACACAACATGAGTTCATAAAGCTGCCAGGCTTCAGTAATGCAGCCCATTAAAACAAGGGAGTGCAAAAACAGGACACGCGTGACGTCAGAGCATATTTGTCACAGACAGGGATGTCACAAAACCTAAAACCCTGATTATTCATGTCCACAAACAAATGGTGATGAGGGAGAATTCACGAATCTCCACTTTCTTGGTGCCGTACATCTTCATTTTAGTGTGGACGACAGATCAAACCATAGGAAAATAGCTTTGCGTCTAACCATTATTTACTCGAGTCTTTTTTCACTTTAAAGATATTGTGAGCGTGTCTCTTGAGTGCAGTCTACAAGTTAAAACAGCCACTGGCAACCATTTAATACACTCCCCCGGAGAGGAGGACTAATGGAACGACCATGGTCATATTATCAAGGTCTGCTGGCTGACTGTTGCTAACATCGAACACTGACATGTTTATGTTTATGTTTATTTATTTAGCAGACGCTTTTATCCTAAGTGACTTACAATTTATAACCTATAGGGCATGTTGTGATCTGTGGGGGAAACCGGAGTACCCGGAGGAAACCCACACATGCATGGAGAGAACACGCAACTCCACGCAGAAAGGCTGCAGCCGAGTTTCGAACCTGCAACCTTCGTGCTGCGAGGCAACAGTGCTAACAACTGCACCACCATGCAGCCCATGTCATACATGGTCCGCTGTCAGAGGGACATTTGAGCGGTGTTAACGTAAGAATACACTCTCCATTGGCGTTGAGGAGTTTGTCATGTCAGTCTCCACACTTTGATGATAAAAGCCATTAGAGGACTTCAAAGAGTCCTCGTCTTTAAGGGGCTCGGAGAAAGGGGGCTGACAGGAATAAGAGAACATATCTATGCTGATTTGGCAGCTCCGTTGAATTTTCAGTTGCACTGATCAAATGGAGCTTCAACAAGGTGGAGAGAGGGCTATTTGCACATTGACCATCTGTAGTTTACAATACATGTGGCACTGAGGCAGGGCTTTGATTCACATCAAAGGCTGTTTAATTTGGCTTGGAAAAAACAAATTTGATAACATGAAAACATCCACACCAGACCATCTGAAGGAAGCATTTTATGTAAACGCAGTACGAGTGGTTTTAAAATATTCAAAGAAATGTCAAATTATTCATATTTGAATAATTAACACAAGTTGTTTTGATAAGCGTCTGGTGGCAATAATGTCACAACGTGACCATTTTGAGGGTGATGATGTGCCTACTAGTTTCTAGTCTGGCAAGCCAGACTAAATAGATGTATTATTTAAACTTTGCAAACTTTGCAAAGCAAGAATTTGGTCTAGTTCACTAGGCTAACTAGTTTCCTAACAACTATAGGGACTAGGGCTGCACGATATTAGGAAAACCTGCGATACGCGATAACAGTGACTAATATTGCGATGACGATATTACTTGCGATAAATAAAAACTTAACTCAGGAAGAAAAATGATCAAAAACAAAGAAATAAACAAATAACAAAAAAAATCATAAAAATTAAAAAGAAAATAAAAAAGAAAAGGCAATCAGTGGATCCTGGGAAAAGCAGAGTCAGCAGAAAGAGCAGAACAAAGCTAACTCAGGTGTTTGCTAACCATCCAAATTAAGTGCCGTCCACCTCGGGGGTGGGCATCCAACCTATGAGAACCCATCTGATTTGCCAAACGAGTGAAGAGCTCTATTTGATTTTTTATTTTTTTTTGTCATTCAAATTATTATTGATTTTTACCTTTTATATTCAAACCCAAACACATCACCATGTAACATAACCATAACCCTGGCCTAAATTAAATGCACGAGCAGGGGAAGAGAAAAAAAATAAAAAAAAATTATAAAATTAATAAATAAAAAGGAAATAAGCAGAATTAAAATAAGCAGATAATTAAATAAGTGAATAACATCATCATACAGAAGAAAAACCATCATGTGATCTTTTATACAGCAGAAAATGACTCCACACTTGTTTTGTTTTTGTTTGGGCATTCCTTATTTTTCCAATCAGGCATTCAAATGAGGGAGTCTCTGTCATGAGTTTAACCCAGTCCGCAGTCTTGGGCTTGTGGGGACTTTTCCAGGTCCTCAGAATGAGTCTTGCTGTATTTGATTAGTTAAAAAACATCATGATTCCGTTCGATTGACAGAATGCATTATGTGTAGCAAACATTTGAGTAGACCATTCATTGCGATATGCATATTGTGCATGCTGATATCATGATAACGATATATTTGCGATATATTGTGCAGCCCTAATAGGGACTCTAAGTCACGCCCATCCACTTCTGGACCATGGGTCCCCAACTGCCCAAATAATGAATGGATAAAAGTTATTTCTGATCCTGTTTAATTTGTGCCATGGATTTCACATTTTATGTTTGTTAGTTTTAAAGACATTTTGAGGCCAAGAAAGTGCTTATGTTCGACAGGTGACAAAACTTTTTCTAGGTAATGTTAGGGGTTGTATGAACTAGTCAACTGGTCGACTAGTCGACTTCACTGGTCTGTAGTGACTTTTTATGCCCGTCATCGACTAGTCGCTGTCACGTGATAATGACCAACAAGATGCAGTCCTCCAGCAGGTGACGAGCCCCAGCGCGTCAGCAGGCGACACGCTGTGCCAGAGCGTCGGTACTGACACCCGCCGTAAAACGGACATTTAACCAAATTGTGACCTTTACCCTCTTGCAATCTAACCTTCCCCTCACCCCATCCTAACCCTTAACCAGCTTGCGCATGAAAAGCTCTGATCGTTGACGCGCTCCAGACATCTGCGTCCTGAGCACGGCCACAGTAACATTATCCAATCAGGTGTCGCCACCTCAGAAACTAATATAACATGCGATCGTTCATGTCGGCTCATTTCCTTTTATGTTTTCTGTCTTTTATTTGTGCCTGATGCTTTTCGCTGCTGTGGACCGGGGCGCATCACCTGTTTTGTCCTCCGGTGACGCACCTCACCGGTGCGGCCGGCGCGCACTCCGCTGTTTTTGCGGTCGGTAGATCTTTTAGAACTGCAGTTCAAAGGTACCTCATGAGGTGAATATATATGAACCCAGGTAGCAGTTTCTCTTTAGGATTGGGAGGAGATGCAGGAAGATAATAAGCAGGACAGAAAAATAGTCAAATAAAAACAAGTTAGTTTTTGTACCTGGTGGTTGCAACAAACAGACACAACTGAAGGTAATCAGAAGTGAGGAACAGAAAATGAAATAATTATTTTAATGTTTAGAGCAGCAGGAACTCTGAGAGGCTGCAGGCGCATCAGTGAGTTTGCAGCTGCTGTGCAGGGGGAGGGGGGGAGAGGGCTGAAGCAGAAACTACCGTTGTTAAAAGAAATGTGTTTAACTTTGAAAATGTGGGCGCAATTTTAATTGTCAAAAACTCCAGCGAACCAACCAACCCCCGCTTCAGGTGTATGACGTCATCAACGACTAGTCAAAGTCGACTCGATTTTCATGACTTGACTGTCGACTTTAAAATTAAGTCATGCAGCCCCTAGGTTATGTGTGAAATGCCGTAAATGACTACAAATATTTGTCTCACCAAATTGACGTCATCGATTCAGAAATGATGAGACATTCAGTTTTTTTATGTCCATCCGAATGTTTCTTGTAAACATGCTTTCAAATAACTGTAGATGTAAACCTTTAGTTAGAAAACAGAAACGGAGCTCATACTGATGTCTCACCAGAGTCTCGTTCAAAGAATAAATGCTTAAAAGACGTTTTTCTACGTTTGTGCTCTAAAAAAAAACTCTTTCAACAAGAATCCAACTGAACTTAAAACTGAAAATAAGAGACGCAGCCAATCTGAGGGATTATATTGATGCAAGATTTAAGTGAAGTGAAGTTTAGCTGAATGTATATTTGAGGAAAAGAAGATCAAACAAAACGGGTTTAGGTCAGAGAACAAGCGCTTTAACACTGACCATATGAACCACTTCTGGGTAGATGGGTTCAGTGATGACATTCCTGTTGTGGGTGATGTACTCCACCATCTCGCTCAAGGCGGATCGTTTCACCTCCTTCCATTTTAGGTCACTCAGAGGGTCTGAGACAAAATCAAAGAGGACGCAGCACTGGCGCAGCTTCTGGATGAACAGCTTCTCCTGCTCTGCAAGGGGAACGTCTACGAAGCAGAAACAGAGAGAAGGGTCAAACCAACAGGTATCACATCTTAGACGAGGTTTTTATTTTTATCAAAAGAAAAGAAACAGAAGCAAACAAAGACAATAGTGTTAATTCAATAACCGACTAAATAAGATATACTGTCCCCTGCTAATTAATATTTATTGTTTTAATAAAGTTTGTGTGTTCTCAGTACAGTCGAGGAGGTAATGACTTGCATGCAGCTCTATTAATATTGCAGAAAATCAAATGTTAAATAAAATATTTTGCATTTCAAAGACAGTCATCAATGATGCAGAGGCTCTAAATTAGACCTGGGGAGGATGGAGCCACACCTGTTTGCCTTTTAGATTTAAAATAATTTACAGAATGAATAAATATTGCTCGAGATTTTGAAACAATGACACCACATACAAATTAAACAGATCTCTATTGTGTGGCTGCACACATTAAAAAATTCTCAAAGAAATTGACATTTACAGCATCTTTACGGGATTCTTCACGAATGAAACTGATTATTAGAAACAAAATGATCAGCATCCTCCCAAACAGGCACGTGCAGGGGGGGCGGAGGGTGCTTGAGCACCTGCCCCTTTTGTCCGAAGTGCTTAAAGTGCCCTTTTTCCGGTCTTTCGTCAGATTTTACCATTCAAAACTGTTATACTGTGATACATATCCGGCACTAGGACCATGCAGAGGTAGCCTCCTCAAGCTGAAGCCTATTTTCCCTTAGACCCGCCTTCAAGTTCACTGATTGGCTCTGCCGCATCATACTAACGTGTGATTGGTTGTCCCTGCTGTCGCTCTACCTTGCAGCCATGGAGACGACAGGCTGGTGTTTGTCTGCGGGCAGGAGTCTGCGTTCATCTACCTGTAAGTTTTTTTTCTGCTTGCTTCACATCAGCTGGATGTATTTTAATATCAGAGCTTTTGTTTACGTGCATTTGAGTCGGTGGCTAGTATGTGTGGAGTGGGGTTGTCACGATACTGAAATTTCAAACTCGATTCGATACTTGAAAAAAAAACTCGATACTCGATTCCAATACTATTTAAAAACACCAATTTATTGAACAAGTTTATTCAAAAAATAACATTCCTCAATTTATAATGCAAAAATTAAATGTTAAGAATTAAGTGTATAAATTGCTTAAACCTTTCAAGTATCAGCATTTTTTAAAGCGTGCATACAAAAACTGGCGAAAGTTAACACTTTAAATCATGAATTGTCTCACTATATATACACTATGATATGAGTGATATTTTGCTGCTTAAACTCTGTTTAAGGTGCATTTTTGTCATAAGATGTAATGCCACATGTTTTGTTCTGTACTTTTGAACAACTCTGTTGGTCAATAAAGGGAGAAAACGAATTTCTCCACAGTAGGACAAAGGTACATCTACCGGTAGTCTTAATAAAAACAGACTGGCGCACGGCAGTGACGTCATTAAAAGCGCCGGTTAATTAGCCGCAGCTAGTCTGTTTACGCCTAGAAATCCTAGACCCGCTCCAAACGAACAGGGAATCATGTTAATGATTCCTAACAAAACCTTTCGACATGAAGATGTGTTTTGGTGCAGATAATGTCTTATTTCGAGGCTGCACCATGGGTGCCCGTCCGCACCCGTTATATGGATATACACTGATGGCGATTCGCCGATGGATCTAAATACCCCGGGGAAACCAAGTAGCACCAAAGTTGTCAGCGTGAGTAAACAAACGTACTGCATGCTAGAAATTAAGTCCGGGTTGCAATAAACGGGAGTTTCCTTTAAGCACATAAGCGTGAATATACAACTACGTGTCGGACTTGGTATGCTAATTAAGTTGGGCTGTGAAGCGCCTCCCAAATTCGCTGTTTATGTTTTTGTTTATTTATTTGGCAGACAAAACTTGGATTGGAGACAACTCGCGTGGGAAATTGCAATGTAGCCATGCGGCGTCTTCTTCTGTTTGTCTGGGAGGCGGAGGCTGCTTTACGGCGTCTGGCTGTCGTGCGTGTCGGTGTACTTGAAGAAGGCTGTGTATAATAGTCCATAATATCGATACCACAGGGATGGAATATCTAATTTAGATACCACTTTTAGCATCGATTTATATCTACGTATCGATTTTTTTGACAACACTAGTGTGGAGCAGAGTGAGGTAGCTGCATGTCTGAGACAGAAAATGGGACATGAGAGAGACTTCTGAAGTTTTGAAGAAACTCACAACAAAGAATCACAGATGTTATTATTTCTCCCTCTAGATTCTCCGGGTCCTAACTTCTGAATTACTAATCAAATAAAAATAATTCTGTTCGCCAGGGCAAGAGCTCCGATGCAGAGAATTGGAGCGCACACACACACACACACACACACACACACACACACACACAGAGCTATTCTTTTCTCCCATTTCCACACTTAACGGCAGCTCCGGATCGGCAGCTCCGTACTACAGACAGAAGTTTACTCAACAGCATCCAGCATGAAAATGAATCCCGCATGTGGGAAACCCCCCGCTGGCTCACTCTTCTCGCAGATCGGAGGCGGTAGGTTGTAATTTCAGCCGGCCAACCAGTCCGTAGTTTTGCCTCGGTCCCAGTCTGACCGCTGGGGAGAAAGTCTGAGAAAACGAGTTGCCTCGGCACCGAAAACGCAAATCGGACCTGTGTGTGAAACCAAATTCCGGTGCAGTTCGGTACCGTATGGGCCCACGCCAACGCTAATGTGTAAGCGTCATTAGTCTGTGAGGCAGACACCATGTCTATTTTTAAAGACTAGGCTTAAAACAGGTTTTTGGTAGAGCTTATGTTTAATTCTGAGTGATATTAGCTCAGGTGTGGACAAGTGGCAAAGTAGAGGAAGGTGGAGTGTACAGCGGGGAATACAGTCAGTAAATATGGTTCTCCCTGGCTCTGCCTCCCACATGCCTTCTTCTAAGAGGCTAGGTTATATGGAGTTATCACTTTAGTTTTGCTGCTTTAGTATTAGACAACTGGAGGCTATACTGACCACTTTCAACACCGCTACTTTCTTCCACCACTACTCTCCAGTTGCATTATTTCCTGGTATTAAAATTGTTATCTTTGTTTGTTCTCTAAATATTTTTCTCCCCAGAAGAAGCTACACTGGTGTTCTGCTGAGCTGCGAAAGCCTCTTGGAGGGGGCCATCGGCTGACACTGCTGCTAACCACTTGAGATTCTCCCTCTCCTGATGTTAACATTTTACTTTCTTTAACATAGAATGTGCTACTAGTAGCTAACCTGTTCAATTATTATAGACTCACTCAGAAGAAGACTATTCAGCCATAAAAAGATTACTTTGTGTGTGTGTGTGCACACACGTGCATGCATCTGCTCTGTCTTCTCAAACCCCCCAGTGAATTGGGAGACTCAATGGGGGTTGCTCATACAGAGCCAAGTACCACTAGAAGTTTCTTCCTGTTAAAAGGACGTTTTTATTATGGGTATCACTGTAAAGGCACTGACACAACTAGTCAGTGACTCTATGCAGTCTGCTTGGTTTTCTTACATAGGAAACCTTTGACTAATTGGCATAATGACTGGAACTCTTGCTGTGATCTGGCACTATAAAAATAAACTTAATTGCATTGAATTGAATAAAACACATAGAATAAAGGCATAAAGCCAAGAAAAAGCAAACAACTCCATGCCAAAGTGGAATTGTCTAGCCTTTGTTTTAAATGTTAAAGTAGCATTAATGTGCTTTCTCCATCATGACACAGTGAGTCTTCAGGAAACAGATAAACTTCAGCTTTTCTGGGGGAACCAGATACAATACTATTACCATAATTGGTACATACTGCACTGGGTAACCAGAAGTATGTCAGAAGAGAATAAACCAATGCATGTATTGAACTTTAATTGTAGTTCTAACAATTGAATGTGATTTTCCTTAAAGGAGAAGTGGTTACAAATCATGTTCCCCCTTATTCAAATCAAAAGTTAACATCAAACTCTACATTATTGGTTTATTAGTTGTGTGGATGGCCGTGTACAAGGGCTGTCTATCTGGTATGACACTCAACAATTCAGCTTTTACATCAATAAATATTCCGTAGAAGTATGTGTTGTGCCCTGCAATGGACACTGGCTCTCAGTCCAGGGTGTACCCCGCCTGATTCCCATTGACCGGTGTAGATTGGCACCAGCCCCCCCATACATATGTATGTATGTATGTTTGTGTATGTGTATATGTAGTGGATACGTTTGTATGTCTACATGTATATGTATAGATGAAGTATGTGCAACCATATGGGCATGCGATGCACTTTAATGTATATATGTATGAATAGGTATTTGTGCAAAAATCCTTTTGCTTTTTGAACTATTATCACTATTAATTTTTTCTTTTTTCTTTACAAATTGAACTCGTTAGCTAACCAGTCAAGCAATTACTTTGAATAGGCTAATTTATAATTATTGTTATTTCAGTGTAAATGTCATTGTAGTTAAAAGGGGGCAGATAAGTTTTCATCTTTCTGTTCCCTTTTTATTGTCTTGGTTTGAGAAACCTCATTTTATTGTTAGTATTGTTTTTTTTCTATTTTAATAATAAATGAAATAAATAATTAAAAAATAATAAAAAATCATCCTCAGTTGTTCTGACTCACACTGAAGCAAGCACTGTGAAACCAAAAGGAAAGGTAATTCATCTCCATCCAACACAGGGATTAGTGCCATGTAAAATCTGTCCATGGGCCAGCATTAATCAGATCGTTACAGTCTGTCATTAACGAGTAAATGTCCCCTTAGCAAGCTCCCTGTGTCCCATGTGTCACCATGGCAACCACAGGCAGCCAGGACTTTGGACCACGGGTGACCACTGGTAATCAGAGATGCATGTGGGTAACTGCTACTCTCACAGTGAAATCATATGCTGCTGATTAGCTGCAGCCAAGAACCGCGTCAGCCAGAATCAACTGGATGAATAATAACCTGGACTGGAGACAAAATTCAGCATTCATATTTAAATACGGAGAGATCCATCTTAATGACAATGACAAAGATCTCTTATCCCATCTTTTTACAGAAGAAAATACTTTTTACTTTTTGTAGCAATCTGTTTAGTAACCCATAACCAGTAAGAACACCAGAACCTGAGCCAAGAGCCGATTCAGCCCTGGAAATACCATTAAATAAAATTCATAATTTGGGTTTTGTGAAAAGCACAAGAAATTTAGAAATGTTAGAATAAAAATAAACTAATAAATCACTTTTTCACTTAATATATTTTGTATAAGCTAAAGAATTTTGAATATTTTATCAATTTAGACTCATAATTCACCTACTTGTTGTGAAATTAAATATTTATTTAAAAAAGTTAAAGAAACAAGTTATATAACTAAAAGGAGAAATGCAATTATTTTTAAATAAAAGGTCAATAATTTAATTGCCGTCAACAATCTAAATGACATGATCCATCATTACCTGTAACCCTATTCTTAGAAAAGAATAATAATAACAACAAAAAAGTTAGAATCTGTTCAAAGTGAAGTAAAAAAATCTATTAGAATCCAGATCACCACTAGCCTGGCAAGCCAGACTAAATAAATGTATTAATTTAGTCTGACAACGCTCCATTGACGGCTCTCGGTTGTGGGGCGGGTTCTACCGTTGTCTTTCAAATGATCTCCGCGTGCTACTGGACAATGAATGTGACATACTCGGTATGTGAGATATCGATAAAAGAGGCGGTCCGCAGTTGAAGTAGAAAACATCTTTTTTCTTTCTAAAAAAAAAAGCACTTAAATACATCTGTCTGCTCCTGATTCTGATGAAGCCCAAGTTCTAATAGTCCAACATTGATGTAAAAGCCGTTTCAAACGAGCTGTCGCCATCTTGTTTCACTCTGTTGCATCATCCCACCCACCAAGCATATGGAGTGCCTTGATTGGCCGACAAAGCGGATAAAGCTCTGTGATTTGTTCACTAAGCAGATAGAGCACTACGATTGGCCCACCATTATGGACCAATCACAGCTCTTTATGTGTTTGAAACCCCTCTAGAGAGCTGTGATTGGCCAGCCAGAATGCTGTTAGGAGCTGCAGAGGTTCCAGTGGAGCGTTCCTGGACCAAACTTTGCAAAGCAAGAATTTGGTCTCGTTCACTAGGCTAGATCACCACAACAAAGAACACAAGTGTTCACCCGTGAGCTCTAGAAACCACATCAGTGGAAACACTTGATTAAACTGATTTCTGTTTCTGTGCAGAGTTTAAGTGAGACAAGTTTAGGTACAGAATCCTTGTTTTTCTAATATTAAACAGGAATTAACAAAAAAAAAACCTGAGAGATACATTTAACTCATTCACTGCCAGCCGTTTCCTGATCACTAACGGCCTTCGCTGCCAGCGTTTCTCACCGTTTTTACCGTTTTTTAAGAGTCACAGAACGTTGCGCGCTAGCATGATGTCGATGCCAAAACAACCTAAACAAAGAGGAGACTTACCTCTAACATCAGGAAGAAGCCGTGTGTTTCGAGCGTTATCCGTTCTTTCATAATCCGTTGTCGAATTGTGATCGGCAGAAGCTTCTCCGGTTCGCGCCTCACTTTTTTTACAGGAACGTCCCAAAACGATCTCCAAACACATGGATGGTCTGCTTCCTGATCATGTGATCTGTGACGTATGCGGATGAAGATCGGCTTCAGGGCTGAGATGTTTGTTCTCTCAGCGCGGGGGCTCGTTCCAATGCTCAAACAGTAAAAAAATGCAAATGACGACTTAAGTCGTCATTGGCAGTGAACGGTTGGATTTAAAATGACGACTTTAGTCGTCAATGGCAGTGAATGAGTTACTACATAGATTCATGTTGTATTGCAACACAGAAGATATCAGTGGGAATCTCTACTAGGACTTAGAAATAAACGAAACTTTAGGTTTATGTTTATGTCTCAGTTCATGTAAGCAAACCAAAAAAATGAGTTTCATAAACATGATGAATATAAAACTCTTAAAGCAAGTTTTCCAAACTCTACTTATAGAAAATAAGCTAAGTTCTGAAGAGAGACAAAAACAATAAAACATGTTCATTGTATCTCTCTTATTTCTGATTTTGTGTAAAATTTAAAACCTGGTTACTTTAGTGTAATTTAGACCTTTTTAATGGTACCAACAGTGATTTAATGGATGGTTTGGGGGTATTTAGAAGCTCTTACAAGACTGATCTACCTCCAGGGTTTGTGTTTACTTCTTCAAAGCTTAAACATGGGTTCATCTCACATTCTGCTGTTACACAACAGCACTAGGGTTTCAGAGCCGGCCTGAAATATTAAGAGACATGCTGTGCAGCTGCAGACTTCACACACTGACGTCTCTACGTGGACGGGAATGTAACCTTTCCTCTTCTAAAGTCTCCAGCGTGCACACAGGAAGTCAGTTATGATCACAGACTGCTCCGACCTACGACACTTGCATCTGACTCAGTCTACTGCAGGATACAAGTTCGATCTAGTTTTAAAAATGCTACGTAAAGGTGAACACAGGCTATGTGATGCGGTCCAGTAACACGCCTGTCATGACAGGGCTGAAGTTAAATATCACTTCCTGTCAGTGATTAGAGAACTAGACACAGCTGAGAAGAGTGATCGTTTGTGTTTCACATGCATGACAAACAAACTACAAATACAAACTCTATTTAAACTTTTTTATGTCAAATGACACAAAATAAACAGACAACCTGCCAACAAGCTGACCTCACGTCCTACATATGACATATAATGATGGGGGAGGGGAGGCACACAACCATCACTCATTATTTACCCTCACTGTCCCTCACCAGCGTTGAACCAAACCCTTCCTAGTCAGCGCACAAACACAACAATCCCATGACAACAGACTGAAACAACTCTGACATGTTAAACGTTGCAGTGTTTTAAAGCCATGTGATGAAAATTGTCCATAAAATCCAAGTTTGCAGCTGCTGCATGACAACAGTTTTGCTCATTTCCTTCTTTAAACACACAAATGCAGAACAGCAGAAGGAGCAGATTTCCTGTTCTCACCTCGAAAATGCATTAGAGCCACAGGCTGGAAAGGCCCGTTAGAGCCCGGCGTATCCGTGACCATGTCCCTGGCTGGGTTAGTACATGCCAACATGAGTGCGCTGAGGCAGAAGACCGGGGAGGGGGGGGGAGGGAAGCCCAGGCTAAGGCGAGGAGCCAGACTCCATTTTAACAGCAACTCTGAGCAGAAAATGAAGCTCCCCTGCTGCTGGAGGGAACCAGCTAGTTAGTGATGTCATCTCCCCCAGCAGCCACCCGGTTGGCTGAGTACCATCACATGGGTGGGTCGTCAGCATAAACAAACAAGAGGGAAGGGATTGGCTGGGACTGAAGGAAAAGAGGAGGGTCGGTTGTTGTGATTGGGGCAGAAACAATTACAGAAGCCTAAGAAGTCATATAATTAATATTGTGGAAAGAAAATGCTAAATAAAAAAAATATTAAATGTTAAAACTATATTTTCCATCGCACTCAAAAAAAATATAGAAACTAAAACACTCGAACGCTTAAGTTAAGATCATTTCTAAAACTTTAATGTTGTTTTGGTGCCACATTTGTGTCCATCTGCATAACAGAAGGCCCTGCAGACGCACAGGCTGAGCCCAGGTGTGCGCGACTGAGAAACAGGAAGTTTCACTTCAAGCAACACAGGATGTACACTAGCAGTGAGCAGCGTTCAACGTCGGCAGCACTGGAGACCAAACCCTGTGCAGGAAGAGGGCAGGTCCACGATTCAAGAATCTACCCACAAACAGACAAACGCAGCTACTGCATCCACGCAACTCTGCTTTTTCACTAAAAACTGAATTTATTGCTCTTTTACGAAGTGGAGGGTCGTGTCGAAGCATGACACTGCAACGTTGCACTGCAACCGTCACCAATCCCTAATGTGCACTAGTAGTGATGTCACAAAAACAATCTCTCTAATCCCATAATATTTACAGGAAAAAGCAACGATGCATAAAACAGATCTGTTGTTTGAAGCTAATACAAAAAAACATGTAGGAGGTGCTGTAGTTACGATTATTTTAGATTCTGCTTGATCGATCACACAGCACACGGTGATATGAAGACAAAAGAAACAGCCACACACACGCTTAACCACTTCACCAGTGAGAGTACTTAAAACTTTTAACAAGTCGATTTTATCGCCCATTAGGCCGGAATTAATGATGAGCAAAAACCTACGAACAACAAACACTCGATGTTGGTAGGAAAGCTCAACATCTGTGGAATAACTACTTAGTTATATTAAACAGTAAAATTGAGTAAAACTCTCTGTCTAACGAGTGCTGACCTTGAGTCTTTATTACGAAGTTTTGGAGAAGACAAAAAATGCCAAATAGTTGCCGGCATATGGGGATATAGATCTGTGTGAGTCCGTTGATTTATAAAATAGCCACAGAAAGGTCAGGCTTGTTATAAATCCACGACTATGCCGGTATTAGTCCAGACAGGTGCCTAGCACATGTCGTTTTAGCTGAATGTGAATACCTGATTCTTTGGTGCAAATACAGCGACAGAAATCAGGATTTCCATTCCGTTACTTCCACCTTTATTTATAAAGCACTTTAAAACAACCACAAAAATATTAAACAAATACAAAAGCAACACGAGTAACGGTAACCAACACGATGAGAACACATGAAGAGGCTCAATCTGACTGACTGATAATGGTAGACCATTCCAGATTTAGGAATGAACCTAGAAGTCGCCTCTCGACTTCGTCTCCATTTTTGGGAGGACTAACAGTAAATAATCTGCTGACACTAGAACACACACTTGCTGCAGCTCAAACAGGTACTGCGGGGTGAGGCCCTGAAGACATTTAAATCAAATGAAAAAATTTTAAATTCTATCCCGAAACTAATAGTTGCCACCCTCAGTTAGGCTGTCCCCATCTCTGCCAGTCTTTAAGAGTCACCTAAAAACACACCACCTCCGCTTGGCGTTTCCAGAACATGTTTGATTTTGGCCCTCTTTTATGTTGAATTTATTTCACAGCTTTCATTGGTTCACTCAATCCATTGTTTTACACATTTGTCTTGTACCAGAATGTTTAATCTATTTTGTAATTTGAATTGCTTTTATTGTTGATTTATTCAATATATTTACCTACAACTGAACCATGTTCAGCGCTTTGGGCTTCCTGACAGGGTTGCGGAAGGTGCTTTATAAATAAAGCTTTGATTGATTGATTGATTGATTGATTGATTGATTGATTGATTGATTGATTAAATGGAAGCCAGTATAGAGATGCTAAAATTGGGGTAACGTCCTTTTCTTAAAATCAACTGGAGGCTGGAAAGTTACTTTTGACTGAGGCTGACATAAAATCTACTGCAGTGATCTAAATGGATTGTGATCAAGGCATGTTTTGGCATTTCAATGTGATGCAAAGAAAAATCATTTTAATTTGGCCAATTAAAACCTTGGATTTGACAACTAACACGTGCATCAACTTTAAAGAAGTCATTTAATTTTATTAAATGTGCTGTGGACTAGTATGAATGAATGCCTTATGAATCGTTTTCAATGTGAAAAAAAAAACTCTGGCGCTCCGGTTTCTGGAAGCAGAAGTTAGTCAGGAATTCTAGTCTTATTAACGGGGCTGAACAATACATCGCCAGTTTATTGTCATTGCGATATCAGCATGTGCGATAGTCACATCGCAAAGAACAGAGAAAAACAGCAAAGAATGGTCATTAATATCCATGATTATCAAACATCTTGTCCGTATTTAAACTGGCAACAAAAAAAATTACAAAAAATTCAGGCTTCATTATTAGAATTGTTGAATTCCTACAAAGCAAAGAGGAAAACAAGTTCAATTTAGAATTAGTTTAACATAAACTAAAATTATATTAACTTACTTTTTAATATTATTATGCAAAGCTTTTTAAATAGTATTTTACTTTCCGAAAATGAAAATTATAGCAGGTGTATAATAGCAATGTGGCCTTTTTTTGATACTTGTTGACTGAATTTATGCTAAAATGGACAAATTAAGGTTGTTTTTCACCCTTTAAGAGGGGAACAAATTGGGACTCAGATTAACATAAAGCTATCATCACAATAAAATATATGAGATATGAATAAGCATAAAAATATGAGAGCTGATGTTAACTCAAATATGAGACGCTCTAACCAGAAGGTGGCAGCAAACCCAGTGAAACCAACAGCCCGTGCAAGAAAACTCCAACTTAAAACGTGAACACAGACAGACAGAAACGGTTAATGTCCTTATCTGAAATGATGTAAAAAATAAAATTAAATTAAGCATTTTTAACTAAACAAAAAAGCAAGCACATACTTGTATAGTTTGATCTTCTAAAACCTGATGACACCAAGATCCCGTACTACTTTTTCCTATTCTCTTAATGTATATGCGGAGTGAATTTCCCCACTGTGGGTATCAATTAATTCTATTCTATTCTATTCTATTACAGAAGCATATGAGACTTTCAGAACAGAAGAAAGAAAGGTGAGTGATGTCAAACTAAACCTAAAAACTTAGGCTGGGCCTCGATGCCTGGCCCTAACATTGACTCTGCAGGACAAACACAAGGACATGTTTCCATTGGAAGGTGGAGAACATGCCTGGAATGAAAACAGGCCAAACGAAGAGCCTGTTTCGACAGGACCAGTGATAACATCTAGTAGGCCACTCTGGGATAATGTTTTCAAGAATGTTATTAACGCTCACACTGAGCTTTAGGGGAAGTGTGAAGGCTCATCGGAAATGACGTTGTGCTTTAAACATCTTTTGTACGTTCTTTCTGTGTTTGTCTTCAAATTCCATTTTTGGTTCTTACGCTTACTGGTGTTGTGAGACAGCACCGAGGGGACAGCTATTTGAAGTGCAGCCCTGGCCATCTTAGCCCATTACTTTTTGATAAAGCATGTTGGTTGCATTACCACACTTGTTTTTTATCGATTCTCTGTTGCAAACGACACAGTTGTTTGTTTTTCATCAGACTTATAAAAATGAAAATATCGCCACACTGATGAAGTACTGAAACCATTTATTTGAGACAATTTCTCCCACCTCTCTTTGCTGCAGCACCTTCTTTAAGTCCCTTTACTGTCTGTTTAGGTTTGAGGGGAGGGCTTGGCGATGAAGCGTGCTTGGGTCTGTGTTTTTATTGGTTGGGTGTAAGCAGTGACTCTAGTACAAAGCTATCCAATAGGCTATAACAGAAAGAGGAAACTTTCATTGAAGTTTGCATTGATCCATTTTGAACCACACGTCTATTGACAGAAATATATTGTTATTGAATTATTGTCCAGCCCTAATATAGATAACTGAAATCTTTTATCATAACAACCAGCGATTTATACAGGAAAATCCTGAAGATTAACAAGGCTGCCTAAATGTTCGCATCCCACTGCATTTCAGAACAAATGACATACTGCCAAATGTAATATTTTATCATATATCCTTGCTCTGAAAGGTTTAAAATAACATGATAAACAATCTTTTAAAATGTTGTCAAAAACAGGAATAACTGTAATCACCTCTGAAACATACAATCCTGAAAAAAACATCACCCAATCATTGTGAACGACCCGTACTTAATAACTGGACCATCATCCATTCATCAAACTGCCGTCTGACCACTGATGTCGGCACTAACCCAAAATTCAGTGTTTGTTATTTCATTTTTAATTAGATCTTTTAATCTTAGATAAATTTTTCATCCAACACAATGAATCAACTCCTTGTCAAAATTACTGAATAAAATGTTGGTTTAAAAACAAAATAATCCTGAAGAGTGACTTTAAGGCCACCGATTCTTCAACAATCACCACATGGTATCTGCAGGTTTAAGGGAGCCAAATTTAAGACATTTTCAGACCTTTTTTAAGGCCACTTAGACCAAATTTGAGCTATTTTTAAAAATAAAATTTAAGCTATAATTTCCAGCTATTGCCTGGAACCGGTGCTAACCACGCCACAAACGTGGGATTAGCCAATTAAACTTGCACTTCCCCATGGTGCAAGCTCCCGCTAGCTTAACCAGCTAATGTGCTCATCTAAAAATAGCCCCCTTTCACAACCAACTGAATGTGTACGGTTCCGCTTACGCCAATATCGTACACAAAAAATGCTAAACGCTAACAAGAAATTCACAAAAAATTTTATAGAAATGAAACAATCCAGTTTATTGGGTCTTTGGTCATTTAAGACCTTTGGAAACTCTATTTAAGAACTATTTGTCATTTTTAAGGATTTTTGAGGCCTTAAATTTGGAAAAGCAAATTTGAGACTTTTTAAGGACCCGCGGATACCCTGCACCAGAGAGAGCCTGATGCCACACAAACAGAAAATAAAAGAATCAAAAAAGGTCAGATGTGATGAATTGCTGACTCACTCTCTCTTGAATCG